GAGGAAAGTACCCATTTCCTGCATCACAAACATTTTCTTGAGTAGCCTTTGCTTGTCCCTTTCTCCCATGCTATCCAGTTCAGCCTATCCTACTTCCCTTTCATAACCTTAAAACAGTGTTCTGAGCAATGCCATATTTGTTAAAGAAATAAATCCTAACTGCTGTAACCCATCTTACCCTCTTTAAGAAACATTTTGCACAGCATCCTCATAGTTCTCCCCAGGTAACACTGACTTCTCTTCCTCCAGTCCACAGTGCATTGGGGAGCTTGCTCCCAGGAGAGAGTTAAGTGTCCCTTGAAACATGTGAAAAGGAGTTTCTCTGTGTTTTCCTCTTGGATGTTGTAAAAGGCAGCATCACTATATTTGGCTCTTAGAAAGCTGTAAGATGTGGATGTATGATAAACAGCTCACTGTGTACTACGAGATTCCCATAGACATTCCATGGTCTTGCTGTTTTCTAAAGCAGCACTAAGTGAGGCATACAACTGGGCATGGAATCAGTGACCATTGGAACAGAGGAGAAAGCACAGCTAGAAGGAATGACAGACAAGGTAGAAAAAGGAATGGAAGACAAAAATGATTTCGGTTTCAAGGTCTGTCTGTAAAGCTCAAGTAGGACTTGGAATACCCTCCCCGTGTGAGCTGACCTGATGTTCTCCATCTGTTCCAAGGCCCTGGAGGCTGGCTGGCCGTTAAACATGGAATGATGACTGGTGGAGCAGGTGCAGTGAGGTGGGAAGGTGTGGAGCAAATAAAACACGTTTGTGGCATCTATGAGCAACGTTGACCCCCAGAAAATTTTAAAAGGTTGTGCGCTGTGGTATCCATGACATATGCGTGAGAGGCGTGAGAGTAAGTGTATTTCTCGAGAAAGTACTTCAATTACTTGCATATTGTTATGCCTTTAGAATTCCCAGGCCCTACACTGCACAATTACTTAATACTCAAAGAGAACTATGACTTGTTTTGACAAATTGGCCTTTAATGCAATCCATTGGCCCAGTGTCAATGGGCGTATTGCCTGAGCTACAGCCTTTGCTAAAGTAGTTCTCTCAGCCTACTGCTGTGAGTCAGCGTTTCTCTTCCGGTAACTTTTCCTTGACACCACTTGACATCTGTATCAAATTGGAGCTTCTTATTAGCACCTTTGAGGATTTCCAGCATTCCGCTCGATGCATCCCTTACTTTTTCTCTCACTTGCGGCTCTGCTCGGGCTCTGTGTGATGCTTGTTCTCTGTGCAAATCATCCTTTCCCCTTCTCATCCCTTTGTTTCCCTGCAATTACTTCCCTTAGTGCGTCCAACAAACTCCTTCCAGCTCTGCAATCCCTCCTTCATAGGATGCATTTTAAGATTGCTACATAGCTGGTGAAAGACTTACAAAGGGAGATTTTCTAAAGAATTATCAATACTCTGCTGAGAATAATTCCTTCTTTATATGCTGAACACAAAGGCACTGTACAGAAGAATGGTATTTTTTAGCTTTTCTTATCAGCAATTCATCTTTCTGTGCTTCTCTTCATCATGCCAGGCTGAGACTCCTTACTCGTTTCACAGCCTTGATCCACTCCAACAACACCCTCAGTGGGTTCTTCCTCGGAGCGCTCTAAACCCAGCCACTGGGCCTGACCCTGACCACCCCCAGTCCCTTCCTGGGCGCCCTGCTGCCTGTGCGCTGTGGCAGCCCCAGCCCGGATGACCCTTAGGAAACACGTTGGCTGTGCCACTCTTTGCTCGGCAGCTCTCCCAGCTCCACACCTCTTTCCAAGTCAAACTTGGGGAAGAACAGTAGTGCTCTCTCTGCGCAGCATGACCCACTCTCCCCAGCCCATACCAGTCCTGTCCCATCTCCCAGCTTCTTATCATGTTTGCCTTTGATCAGAATATAACCATGGAAGCCCCCCCCAAATGTGACACTGGGGAAGGGCATGATGTATATGCTCATGAAGGTGCTCAAAGCATGTGATGCGCCGGTAGGAGGCTGCCAAAGTGAACCCCATTGATCGATATGACCAATACGTGGAAATTTAAAAAGATGTTTACATCTTCTCCTGCCTGTCACTCTGTCAAGATCTCTTCACTACAAACTTGTCAGTGGACTCAGATTTTCCCTTCTCTAAGTGGCCTTCCCTGTCCACTGAATGTGAAGTAGCATAAGTCCTCACCCTGCTTCACTTCTCTTCATAATTCATTCCTGTTCCTATGCTATTGACATATGTACTGCTTACATTCAGATTTCATCTCAGCTATGGTTTTTTGGCAAAACTAAGCTTTTCCTGTGTGCCTAGCACTTTGCCTAAGATACCTGCTCCAAGATTTAGAGGTTGACTTGTTTTCTAAGTGTGGTAGCTCCTTTGGCTTAATCTTTGTTGTCCTATAAACTCATTTGACCTTGTTCAAAGGGAGCTTTATCAGAGGTCTTTGTCAAACTAATAAATCCTCTGGGGTCCTGCTGGACCTTTACTTGTTGTGCTGAGAGCCACAGCTGCTGACAGAGTTCTAGCTGGACCAGGGATCATGCATCCCCCTGGCGACTACCATAAAGGAGGGACATGCTAGCCACTAATTTGAAAACTTTGAACTTCGATGTTTTAAATTTTATTCTAAAGATGAAGATAATAGTTGCAGACTTTAATTCCTTTGGACTTCAACTTATTTTGATTTTAGCATGAAAAAAGTGTTAATTTGTACAGCTCAGTTCTCTCCCTAGGGAATTTTGAGTGGGAAGGAAATATGTTCAAATGTGGGAAGTCTCTGAATTTTGGGATTTTATATTTGAAATATACATTATATTTTTCGGATATTTAACATGTCATTTAATTTCACCACACAATTTGGTAGACCAGGTTAGATAATATGACAGACCTAATTAAGATGGCAAAAGGGATGAGGATCCACAGGCCTGGGTATTGATGGTGTTGCAGTTGATTTCATTCATGTGCTTTGTTTATCCATTTTGCAAGCTCTAGGGAATAATCTAAATTTTGCTCCACTGGTACCAGAACACCCATAAAGAAGGAGTGATTGGCATTATGGGAATGACCTTTAGCAGGATCACCTATGTTAGCTTTCCCTTTCTGTAATGAAACACCTGACACAAGCTACTCAAGAAGAGAGGGTTTTCTTGGCTAGCAGTTCTGGAGGCTGAGAGACAAGATGGTGTAAGTAGACTCTGCAGTAAGGGCCCCTCTGCATGCATCACTCATAGCATGGATGACAATGATGGGAGTGTGCGCAGGAGCAAGCAAGGGATCACACCTCAAGCCAGGGGCAGAGAGAGAAGCTGGGGTCCCCCATCCCTTCCGGAAAATGCTCTTAAGGTTCCATGGGCTTCCAATGAGGCCCAGCTCATAAGGATCCACCCCTTTTTCAAGTACTGTCACCCAGGGGACCATGTTCCCTACACGTGAACCTTTGATGTGACATGAGCCATATTTAAACCTCTGTGCTGCTCCAACAGACAGGAGATCAGATCTTGGTTCAAACTTGTATCTTCCCCATAAACATGAGGCTGTACACAATGAATGAAAATGCAAAGATCTAGAAAATGATGTGTGGGGGTATCCTTTTAAATCCTCAATGTGCAGTGGGATAATAGTCTGGTCTCACTGTATCCCTCCCTCACTCCTTTTATGTGATATGAATTGTCCAGTTCTGGAGAATTTTGAGTGAGAAATGTATAGTTCAGTCTACTCCCCCATTTATTTGGTGCTAACTTCCAGAAGGCAGCTTGCTGTTCTGTTCTGCCCATCCGTCCTGAAAATTTTATGGGGCTACTTGCATAGAGTGGAGCTGGCATGGGTCTGGCATCCTGCATAAAGGGGTGCAGAATCTATTTCTGGTGTTTAGTGTCTGGTTTTGCCCTTTTCCACAGATACAGTGGCACCTCTGTTCACGAACTTAATTCATTCCACCATTCTGGGGAAGATGTTTGCATTCACACTGGGAAGATGGCCATGGTCAGTAGTATCCATCACCTCATGTGGAATTTGAGAATGGAAGCAAAATTTTGCCAAATGCTTCTGTTTTCAAATCAAATTGTTCATGAACAGAAGCATTCATGAACTGAGGTATTAGTGTACATGGCATATTCTCCAATACTAACTTTATTTGTGATAGGTTCATCTGTCATCTTTTTTTTTCCTAAGAAAACTTAACTGGCCTGAATTTGAATGAAAAAAAAAAGAAATATAATTGAAAGTTTCTTCTGAAGTGCTAAGGTCATGAGGTATTTTGTTTTTTGGCTAACAAGGGAAGTCAGGACTATTTGTCCTTCTCAAAATATGTTCCTGAGTGCAATATAAAAGAAAAATATTACCCATATAACTGTGATAGTCTAAAAATACACTAAATCCATTCATGGTATCACAGAATATTTATTTTCTATATTTCCAGCCTTAACAAGTCTGACACAATGTCGGCTTTCCCAGCTATCCTGGGTGTCACAATTGGTCAGCACTATCGTCAAACACTAAGATCTCTAGGGTCAGAAGGCAGGAAGAAGAGCTGTTTCCTAGGAAGTAGTTTTGAGTTCCTCAGATCCTTAACTCAGCCAATCACCACCCACAGATAAAGACACTTTGTTGCTTCTTGGTGCCACTTGGGAATGAACCAGTACCCTAACCATCTCCACTCTGCAAAAATTCAACCTCAGGGGAAGATCCTGGAATGTGCTGCCTGTTTTCAAGTGTTTTGAAGAAGTTTAAGTAGCGCTCTTGTTCCAAGAAGCTCCAGTAAGCAAAGGAAGAATAAATAAGTGGAAATCACAAGGTGGAATATTTTTATTTCATTAAAAGATAGCTTTCCAATGATTACCACTGTCTTTCCATGAAATGAGCTGCCTCAGTAATAGCAAACCACTTTGGATCACCTCACAGTAAGAGGTCATTTGAAGGATTCATATTCAGGCTGCAAAATCAGCCCAAATCCTGTTGATCTTGGAGAATTTATGACTCGATGAGCATTTTTCCCCATAAGCAAAACACAAGGAAATTTGAATTCAATTTTTGGAAGAAGAAAAATTTAATATATTTTATCTTATTATACATTTCCCCTAAATTACAAAGTCAACAGCTGCAAATATATTCTGCTACAAAGCTTTCTGTAAGAAATATCTCTATAAGAAAATACATCTCATTAACATTTCCTCTAAATAAATTACTTCAAATAATAATTTTTGAAAGCATAAAGTAAACATAAGGGAAATGATACAGGAACCAGAGTGTAAATGTAGCGGCTATATAAGAAATGACTGGCGAAAATGTTCCCGTTTCCTTTCACCAAGCTTATACAGCCCAATGGCATCAACTTGGGCTCTTGGGTCAAGTAGCATATAATTTTTGTTTTTGCAGACATGTGTGGAAATCTTCATCATCCTAGGAAATATGTTCAGGAAGCTGAAATTCTCCATACAGGCTCTGATTCAATTTCTATCTGGAGAACTTGAATTTGAGGCTGCAGATGGAGTATAACTGTAATAAGATTCAGGAGTGACTTTCTGTTCATAAAAGTTTAAAGTAACGACCATAAAATAAACTTTTTGTTCTCATATGCTCTAGACGTAGGATTTAGAAGTGAGTTAAATAAAAAGGCAATAAAATGTTTTCAAAAGAATTTAGAGCCTGTGTTTTCTATGGATTACTGACATATAGATTTTACAAGTTATTATACTTTTTAACCTCAGTGCCTGCAGAAAGCAAAAACTATGTATTTGGCAATGAAATAGCTATAGCAGAGAGAGCTCGGTGCAGACACCTCGCATGGTACCGGGGTCAGTTAGAAGCTTCAGGACCATGACTCTCACTGTGCTACCTACCCCGGGGGTCTGCTTCATGAGACCACCTCATATTAAGATTACTTTAGGACTTAAAAATATAAAATAAATATTTTGAGTATTGAAAAGGTAAGAGACCTTAAACTGAACTCATCTGGATGTAAATATTGAAACAGAAAATCCCACGGAGGACTGCCTTCAGGTTGTGCTGTCTCTGGTTTCAAAGGTGTGTCACACATACACCCGTGTGTCACACATGTGACCCATGTGTGGCCAAACTCTGGACAACTGACAAAGTTCCCCCATGTCCTTGGCTGTACTTAGGGACAGGACCATTACCAGCTTCACCCCATCCTACCGTAGAGTGTGTAAAAAATAAACATATTTACATCCAATCCTATTAAAATGTAGTGTATGTCAAAGCTTTAGAAAACAATGGTATCTCCATTAACTTTGTTTCCCCCATATTGTAGACATCTTTACAATTTTTTTGCAGTCTGCCAAGATTCTGCTCTGTGCATATATTGCACTGGTCACAATTAATGGGTACAGTTTGGGAAACAAATGTATTCAGGGTAGGAATCTCAGTATATCCAAGAGAAATGGATGTCATTCCTTCAGAATATGGAATCCATTTTTATCTTATATTGGTTTTATTAATTATAGGTGAAATTAATTTTTCAAAAAAAGGTAAATAAACAGTTTGAGGGGAAATCAGTTTGTTATTTTTCTAAAGTTCTTGACTCTGTTTTTTTCTTATCTATTAAGGCCTTTAATTGAGCAGATAAAGTTGAGTTCTAAATTAAGAAGTGATTGTATGTTGCAAATTAACTCTGCTCTGTTTTCATTTCCTGTTTATCTGCTCTGTTCATGCTTTAGAGCTTATTGTGGGTCAGGGAGTAATTTGTTAAACTGTTAACTGAATAGATCCATGGCTTTTAGGTTAATTTTATAGGCAATCACCAACCTGAAGGAAACCTCTCCTCCAGCACAACCTAAACTCTTGGAAAGCCACATGGCACTCATCAGTAATTTCCATGGTGTGCTTTTTTTTTTTTTTAATAATAGTGTTTTCACAAATGTGTACATTATTTACATAAACCAGTTGCATAATGGAAACACTGGTTGCTCTGCATTTGCCATCCACCCTAATCCATTCAGTCCTCCTCCATGTTCCCTTCCTTCTCTGCTCTATATGCTCAGCACATTCACATTTTAGCCATTCTTCTGCATTCCAAACCTTGTTTTCCACCATGCCACAATGCATTAAATACACAAATTCACAGTCTGCTGGTGATGCTTTCCCTCGACAGTGGTCAGACCTTCTGACACACATGCAGTCTGGCTTTGGAAGAGTAGGTGGCATCTTTCCACACCTTGCAAGACAGGCCCTTGGCACAGTCACACCGCTGGAAAATTTCTAGCCCATGAGAGCCCTTCTTGCGCTGTTTTGTGCAGACCTCTCCCTGGTGCAGCACTGGTTTGCAGATTTTCGTCCAGAAGTGACGAGCACAACAAAACCCTTCAATGCAGTCTGAGGATCTCAGGCAGGGATCTCCTTCGTGCCCTGGGGAACCACAGGATCAAAAGAGGCCACCATAAATTTCTACTTAGCGATGGAAAGCACATATAACACCTTTGCCTATACCATCTTCCATAGAGTTACCATTTGTAATGAAATGTCTTGGATTCCTACCGATTGGCTGTCCCTTTTAGTCAGGTAAATCCACCATCTGTTTACATTATTTGCAATCTGAATATCGAGCTGAATGAAGAGCCAGGCCTGTGCTCTTTCCTTTACTTCCTCATGACCTACTTTTAGATGGTGCCCTGATCATTCATTTTTACATAGTGAGTAAAAAAGTATAAATGTTGATTTGAAACCAGTTAACTTTATGCCTCCTTTGTGGATCTAAACAAATCTCTGATTCAAGAACAAGGCTGAAATCTCCAGGATTTCTAAGACCATATATCAGGGGGAGTCCAGTCAAGAAAACAGAACCTAGGTATTCAACACAGGTTATTTCATGCAAAGAACTGACCACACTGGTAGTGAGTGGTGAAAAGCTATGATAAGTCAGTTTCATATTTAGCTTGTGTCAGCATCCCGGGGTTGGATACAGCGGCAAGAAGGGACTCTTACCAGGTCCACTCGACAGGAGCTGAAGCTTCAAGGAAACCCAGTCCTGCCCAAACACTACCTAGAATATGTTGGCTAAGCCCAGCCAGGGGCATCTGACAAAGAGCTCAGGAAATTCAGTCTAACAGAAGCCGTGAGACAGAGCACAGTAAAGGAAGGGCAGTCAACCCATCCGGGGGTGAACAGGCTCAGGGGCAACAGGCGGAAAAAGAAATCTGGGTACTTTATCCAGAAAGAATACTAAGTCAGCAAACAGCCCCCACATATCGTGGCTGAACTGATGAGTAAGTAACCTGACAGCACAGGGCTTGGCGAACTTTTCTATTGATTGTCACTTTGTTAGCGTTTTGAGCCACAGACAAACACCTAACTGAATGCGTGATTCTGGGCTCCCAAAGAAACTCACATCAAAAACAGGCCGAGGCCTAAGTGTGTTTACCCCTGATCCAAGGGTTACCCATCATCCCAGATGTGGTCCTACTGTGTGACCTGGACATGCTCACATCCAACGGAAGATGTCTATTTCCCAATAGAAAATGGTACACGTAATTAGCAATGATCAATAAAGTTTGAAAATCACTACAAAAATAAAGTCTGTTGGAATAAAGATATTCACATAATAATAAATCAATTTGGTAGAACATAAACAGGAAGTATGGAAATGAACTCTGGAACTCATGGACTGTAAAAAATAAGATCACTTATGGAGAATTATTTATTGAAATCTTCAGTATTGAAATAATGTTTAAAAAATAAACCAGATTTTCTCGTTGCTGAACTTCTCAGAGCCTTCTGTTTATTCCCATTTATTGTCAAATTCCAAGAATAGAGAGATGCATTATTACAAAACTCTTTGAACACGAGGTGCTTTTATTCATAGGACATCTTCAAAGAGAAGAATTCTACAAAATACACTTGGGAAAAAGCCTCCTTAAAAATTAAGGTGTTTCATATTTTTGAATTTTTACTAAGTTTCAAAAATTTTATGCTTTGCAAGTTTACTATTAATGATTAGGTTTCTGAAATACTTCAGCATAGGGAAAGGGGTTGTATGGCCATACATAATCCCATGATAAATCAATTATCTTGGTAGATTAGTTTTTGAATAACACATCATCTAGTTGTTGAGTATAATAAAATTTCTGAATCTGTAAAGGTGAGGAAAGGAATCAAAAGCTTAGTGATTTGATCATGTGCCAGCAAAGATTTTCTCCTTTACTTTTCAGAGTACTATATTCTTTGATAGGTACAAATTATAGTACAAATAGTACTATATTCTTTGATAGGTACATTCAGATATGTTTGTGTAGCTATGTTCTCCTACATTTCACAGCAAAAGAAATGCCTGTTGAGAAGAGGACATGGTTCATTAACATGCTATAATCCTCAGAGTATGTATTTTATAACAATGTAAAATCTAGCATCCTCAATATTAAGAATCAATAAACTCATTTAAATCTTGTCATTAGAGAACTTTCCTTATAATTTTTTCTACACCAATGGAATTAATTAGTAGTATCTGCATTTTTCTTTTCCATTTTTATAAAATGAGAAAAATTAAACACAGAAAGACAGGCAGCCCTACCTTTTATATGGGACATCTTGGTGTGTGGTCTTCCTAGAGTCTGCCATCCCAAGTCATGGTTTGAGTAATGACCGTGGTTTCGATCTCTATGCCGAGTGCCATCCAGAGCTGGGATGTGTGGGGTTAGGATGCTTTCAGTGACTGGGATGCAGATGCCTGGAGACAGTGATGTAAACTGTTAGACTAGTTAGATCAATTCCATAAGCTGTGGTCCTTATTCTGATATGATCTGACAACCCAATTATCTGTGTATTATCTGCCTACTGTCTCTCTACTCCTTCATTTATTGATTTGGGGAGACAGAGTACTGCATACTTTAGGTTTGAGGCCAAGCTTCCTTAATCTGAATTTTTTCTCTTTTATGACCAAGTGACCTTGGTCAAAAATATGAATAAAAACAAAATTAATTTCTAAGAGTCATTGTGAGTATATATGTGACAATTCAGCTGCCTTGTCAACTTGATTGATTTTAGAGCCACCTAGGGGATTAGTGAGCCACACTCCTGGGCATGTCTGGCTGGGCCATCGAGGTGTGACCTTGGTTACCATACCTGGTCCCTGGCCCCTTCCTCTCTGGCACTGCTCCCCTGCTCTGCTTCCCAGCCCCATAAACTAAGCATATTTACTCCACATTTACTTCTGCTTTAGAGTCAGCTGACCATGGACTGAATCCCCTGAAACCATGAACCAAATTAAACCTCTCCTCTTCTAATTGTGGTTGCCAGGTATTTGGTCCCAGCAATGAGAAAGCTGACTAAATTAATATGTGACATTCTTAGAATAGTGACATAGTAAAGAAATTAATATTCATCATTGTGTTTTAAGATCTGACAGGACATTTATCATAAGGATTAGGGATTTTGCCTTTTAACAATACAACCTTGGTCTCCACTGCAGTCTTTCAACATGATGTGAGCGCTTCTTCCTCCACTTCCTGCTGAAGGTGCTCACAGTAGGTCTATGGCCCAAGACTGGAGCAGGAGTGCCTATATGAGCCTGGTAATGTGAGTGGGCAGCCTGAGCAGAGTTTCTAATAATTCTGCAGTTCATGATTTCCTCATGGTTTGTCTGTGATTCTTCATATTATTACTAATGCTGAATTGTGTGCCTGTAGATCCACTGAGGTAAAGCCGGGATGGGAACAGAATCCTGTATCTTTATTTGGAAGAACCAATCACTGCATCACTGTGTGAAGGTGCCACAGGGCATCCTGAAAACAGGAACTGAAGTATAAACTGGTATAAAACTGGAAGAAGAACTCAAAAATGCACCACTAAATCACAGCAGGTTCCTTTCTTTGGTTCTCTTTCATGTATTTGCTTATGTGTCCAGCAGAGTAGAACACCTAGCTATTTTATGCAATATTTGAATTTTGCAATATCCTAGATCAGTGTACAGCATTTAATACCTAAAGTGGAAAGAGCCCAGCAAGACTAAGATTTGCAAGTTAACCCAGGTAATCTTATATGACCTAAATCATAACCCACCCCTCCCCATCCTGAAAGATGCTTTCTAGCTTGGGAGCCTAGGTAAGGATCAATCAGACCAACCCACAAGACACCTGTCACTCCAACATGAAAAAGAAAGAGGCCTGGGAACATGTCAGGAGGCCTTGTACCATTATTGCAGCGGGTTCCCGGGCAACACATGCCATCTCTATGGCAACGCTTCTTTTTCCTTCGACACACCATGCAGGCTGACGGTCCCTGGTGGGGACTGTGGCAGTATCTCCCAACCTCACATTCCTTATCGCTGCTGCAAGGGTAGGCCTGGCATGGGGGGAATAACACAAAAAGCAGAGGTGAGATCCTGGTACAGTTACGACACATGGTGGTACCAAATCATGAGAGAAACTGAGCCCCAGCATGCCATTCCTGGAAGGCCATATGCCACTGTAATAATGTTCTGAATACAGACCCTCCATAGTGACACTTCATTCACAGAGGAATTCGTAAGTACTGATTGTTCATGGTGACAAAGATGAAGGTGATGCTATTCATATAATTTCATTGACCCAACTTTGGAATTAAGATTCAACTTTGTCTTAATGAGTAGAACCCTTGAGAGTGACTTTGGGCTCAGTGACAGTTATAATTGTTGTACTGCCACTTGTAAGGGTACAGATGAAATAAGTCATCCCAGCTGCTCCATTTCTCATGTGCTAATGGAGGATGGGGGGATGGCTAGGTGAAAAACCAAAGAGCTTCTTACGTGCTGCTCCATTATGGAGCGGGTATTGTAAGAGCAGCTGTACACAGTTCCTGGTGGTCAAAAGCAAGGAGGCAAACACTTCCAGAATATTTTCAGACAATGTACTGTTTGGCATGAATAAAAGAAGGCAGGGCATCTCCATTCCTGGTGCTTCCAGTGAGTAGCCAGAGATGCGGGACTGCTGTTGCCCCAGCACATAGGGAGCAGAAACACTTTCTTCACACACACAAGAGCCCCCCTCGTCCACACCTTAGTTCACACAGAAAAGCTTGTTCGTGCTTAGAAGGCTACTTCAGCAGTGTCAGATGTTATCTCAGAAACAAAAATGTATGCTCTGGTCATGTTCTGCTTGCTTCTTGGAAGTCTTTGGAATATTTAAAAGGTCCCTGTTTTCAGATGATTTAGATGTCTCATTCCTCATCAAAGGTACTCAGACTTTGATGCAGGGAGACTCTTTTGTAAGCCTTTGTTGTTGTTGATTGTTTTTCTGATCTTTAGAGCAATGCATTATTTTAATTTGAAAAACACAAAATATATTTTTGAAAGCTATGTATTTGTTTTCAACAAGCATAAATGATATGACTATGAAACTATGAATGAAATTACTGTGACTCTCAAATAACTGGTGTAACTTGGTGGCTTCACTTGAAATTAGGTTTGCTGTTCTCACTCTGCTGGCTTCGTTTATTCCTTTCCCCTCTCATTCTCTTCCTCTCACTCTGGCTATTTCTTCCAACATCTTTTCTCCCCCTGCCATCACATCCGTCTGTGTGCACATTCTGAGCCCCACCTGTTTTCCATTTATGTCTGATCATCTTCAGTTAGAAAGAAGAAATAAAGATGAAGCTGATGTGTGAGACCGAGGGAAACAATACATTTCAGCATCATTACCATGTCTTCTTTACCCTTAAGGGAATCACGTGGGAAAACCACTAACTTCAAATTCAAAGTGATCTTAAAGGCTTGCACAGTGGCAATGTTTAATGCATACAGTATAATTATTATAATTGGAGCCAGATAAAGCTATAAAATGAATGTATATATTATTGTGTCACTCTGCAGTTCTATCAGGAGGCTTCAGATGATCTGGATGAAGTTGAATTCAGAGCAGTAGGCCATTTTTCAAGAGCCCACAACTGATGAAAGCAAAACAAATGTCACTTCCCGCCTTACCACATTCTTTTCCCCAAGCTCTTTACCCCACTTCTATTTAAGCCCATTAATTTTAACTGAAATGCAATTCACATGTTTCTGATTCATTTACATTTATTTCATCTAACTGTGTTGCAAGACATTTGATGTCTTACAAGTTTCTTTCCTTCCTCAGAAATAGGACATGTTCCTTCAACGGAAATAAACACATGCCACCTAAAACATCATGTGCTTATTTACAACTCGAGCAACAAATCTTCAGATGACTCTGAATATAGAATAATTACTTGATTCCCTTCCTTAAAAGCTGTCTTAATGGTAGAGTGCAAACTGCTTTCTAAAACTAACAACTTATTTATGAAGAAAATGGTCAAAGGGCCATCATCTTTTTTCCCATTTTCAGCTGATGGGAAATGGAAAATATTGAAATGGCAAATAATCGATGCATGGGATATTAAAAATGAGGCACAGTCATCCTATATTTGAATGAGATCACAAAAACTTCTTTCAATTTTTAAGAGGCCAACTCATTTTGTCTAAGACAAAAACTATATAGAAGGTATGCAGTTGTATTATGCTTCAATGTATTTTGTGATTAGTTTGAGGTAGAAATAACACAGGCAAAGAAAATATTTAGGATTTTTCTTTAATAGAAAAGGTTATGAGTATTGCGAACTTGTACTCAGAATGGAATCTGAGAATATAAATCCTAGGAGAAATTCTGTGGAAATTTTAAAAATAAAGTTCAATAATTTAAATGCAAAGTGTATTACACAGCTTCTAGTATGTTATGAAATCTCTAGCCCCAACAACTTTTGTATGTCAATAATATGAAGAAGGAATGAATAAATTGGTTGAAACAAGTTTTGGAGAAGTAAGTGATATTTGGAGCATGCCTTGCTTAATGAGATCAGTATCCCCAGAACAAATCTACTCAGCCATAAGGTTTCTCTTGAAATAAGCATTAGCAAGAAAATAGAGTGTGCGCAAAACACAGATCTAACCCATTCTTCACAGTTCCCATGTTTCCAGCACTAACGAATTATTTTTCAGTGAAGAGTTTCCAACAAGGCATTTTCAGCTCAAATGTGATGGCTCTGCAGCTTGCCACCTTTTCCCCTTACATTAACTGCTTTAAAGTATCTGGGAATGGGAAGAGAGAGGGAGCGGGGAGGGAGGGGGGAGAGGGAAAGTGCACCAGGGAGGCAAGTACTTAGCTGACAGCAATGATGGGCGTCCTGGGAAGGAAGACTGTAGCAATGAATGGATTGCCAGTGGGAACTATGTACGTTCGTAAAATTTCCATTCAGAGATTTTTCACATGGAAAATATTTATGTCCCATTTACTTTGGCTTCCAAAGGCTGTTACTTGGTCCCATTTGATGATGGTTTTGTGGCAAACAAAAAAGTGAGTTCAAGTACATTAGCCTGTTTCCACTTAAAATCAGTACTTCTCTTACCTGGATTTCGAGGTGAGTAAACAGGCTGTGTTTTTTGTCTTGGTATGGGAATTATTAGTAGTGACTTTTAATGACTGTTCATTTACTTAGACTTTATGTGAGCAGAATAGATAACTTCTCCACCCCTTTATTTTTTTGTCTGATGACCAGTAAGAGTTTGTGTCAAAGACTTAAAAGAAAGTGAAAGAATTAAGGTGAGACATTGGTACGCTTGTCTCCACAACTGGATCCCAAATTCAGTTTTATGAACATGCAGGGAAACTTAGCTTCTTCCTGAATCACTCACTGTCCAGCCTCAGTCTTAATTAGAAGAAAAATTAATTTGAGGCCCCTAATAATGGCAGATGATTGGCCGCAAATTGAGAATGTATGAAAGCTATCCACAGTCACACCAATAAACAAAAATGTTTGTCCAACCCCACTTCAATACTAAAAACAGAGTGGTTTCCACAAATCATAATGCTAGTTACTGTTACACCCAGGACCTAAAAAAAGCCTATCAGAAATTAGCACTTCTTTGTAGTATGAAGGATTTCTTTTAATCCATTTCCTCTGTGTTAGTTTGGAATCATCATTAAGTACCTCGTGGAATTAAGTACCATGTGCTCAGTGGCAGAGAACTTGGGGATTCTGAACCCAGCCCCGGCTTTGGGGCCTCACTGAGAAGGGTGAAGACCAAAAGCACAAAGGCAAAAGGACAGAGGGGTGACCTGTGGGCTGCATTTAGAGATATAAAAAATAAAGTTGGCCACATCTCTTTCTAATACCAACAGCATGTCCCACTGCAGCTGCTGGGAAGACAGAATACTGGCGGGATACACCAAAGCTGTAAACATCTTCTCATACCATTTCTTCACTTCAATATTTCACTGATTTGATGCAGTCCAAATCAGAGATATAAGCACAAGCCCATATTGTGCAAATAAAAACAATTAAACAATCTTTCAATGAGCAAGGTAAAAGGAAATGTACTTGCTCCATTTTTTTAAAACTAAATGAGCCTTTCTTTCCCTAATTATTCTCAAAACTGCAGGGAGAAAGGGCCTGTTTATTCAAGGCTTACATTCTGGATTGAGCTTTTTCTTATTTTTCAGTAACTACTCGTCTTTTAGAATTTGCAGACACAACGATGAAGTAATCAGATCCCTAAGAAGAATGAAGTGGGGAAAAGCAGTTCAGGTATCTCAGCAGCACTGATCATTGAGCCTCAACTGAAGCCTTCGTTTATTTAGCTCCCAAGATTTCAAAATAGTGGTATTGTTCCTGTTTAGCACTGAGGAGGAAGAGAGCAGCATTGCAGGGTTCATGTGGGACGGCCACCCATCTGGATGCTTGCAAGACTGTCCTAGTTTTGGTGTTGTTGCTGTTGTTAGTCAGGATCATCCCTTGTCCCCGCAAGCACTGTTTGTAACCATCTCGGAAGTTTGCTGGAGCCAGGAAACCGTCATCAGCTGGGCAGGCAGAAGAAAGCCTGCAGGGGACGACACAGCTGTGGGAGTGAAAAACATTTGAGTGGAGAGAGGGAGGTGACAAGGAAGGGATGGATGGGAACATATCTGGGGGCTTCGTGAGACAACAGAAGGCGGGCACGCGCATGTAAGAAGCCAGGTCAGAATGGCTTGCCCTGAATCCTTAGGGAAGAGATTAATTTTTGCGATGACAATATCCGACACGATAGATTTGTACTTCCATGAATGCACAAGGGACACGCCCTTTGAGGATGTCACATTAAAATCAAACCCTAAAAATGACAGCTGCAGCAGAGGCAGGGACCTAGAATGCAGGCTGGCTTGCGTTCACAAAGGGCACATCCGCATCTTTTTCTTTGTCTACAGCTGGCCCTGTGCGTTCACAGGTGATTAAGGCAACTGCGTGATATTTGTTTACCAGTCAAGAAACACTGACTCGGCTTGTAATTGAGCACCAACTATGAACAAGAAGTTCAG